TCAATCCACCTCCCTGTAGAAAAGCAACAGCTACTCCCTCATCTCTCTGAGATGAGCCAACCCGAACCAGTACTTCTCATCTCCTGTCGGCTTTCCCCCAGTATTCAGTTTAAAAACTGCTCTGCCACCTTTTTGATTTTAAGTGCCAGCAGCCTGGTTCCTTCTCGGGACAAGTGGAGACCGTCTCGCCTGTACAGCTCCCTCGTGTTCCAAAAAGCATCCCAGTGCCTAACAAACTTGAAACCTTCTCCCCTACACCATCGTCTCATCCACGCATTGAGACTCCTGATCTGTGCCTGTCTCTCCAGCCCTACGCGCGGAACAGGTAGCACTTCTAAGAGGGTCAGTCAGAAGTTCTTTCAGAACTGTTCTCTCAAGGGCAGTTCTCGAGAGAGCTCTCTCAGCCCCACCTACCTCACAGGGTGTCTGTTGTGGGGAGGGGAAGGGAAAGGGATTGTAAACTGCTCTGAGACTCCTTCGGGTAGTGAAGAGCAGGGTATAAATCCAATCTCTTCTTCTTCTCTCTCTGTGTGTTGCTATTAAACTAGATTTTGTTGTAGTGTTCAGTAGCCTCTGCCTGGAAGGATCTGGCCTAGCCTGTTAGTCAGGGCCCTGTTTCACCATCTGTGCTAATTCACAAGTATAAAAAGGTACCATATTAAAGGATTTTGCTCTCTGTATAATTAATGTGATCATAATTATCCTAAATATCATGCACAAAATGCTTACAAAGTGAAAAAAATTGTCAGACTTTCCTAACCTGCTCAAGGGGGGGGGAGTGGTTTACAATATGGTAATTACCAGTCCCTTTGGACAATTAACAATCCATAGGCTCCACACATTTATGCCATTCCCAGAAGAAATTACTTGCACGTTAAGTACCACAATGTTAATGAAGTATGAAATGTGTGTGTGTGTGTGTGTGTGTAGTACTTGTCATAATGCACTAATAAAATGTTTATTAACTCAGTTTTACCAGGGTGCTGTCGGGCTGGGATCTTTCAGTCTGCACACTATTAGCCTTGATGTTAATCCACATTAAAGTAATTATAAAGATATACCTTGTCAGCTTCTAGCTCAAGCCTCTTGAACTGGCAAACCCAGGCAATGACTTCCTACCTCACTAACATGTAGCATCAATATTCAAATCACTATATGACTCACTGGGATGGGGGAGGGAGAGAAATGAAGCATATTTGAGCCCAAGGAAAAGGAACAAAACAATTTTAACAATCAGAAATTCAAAACACTAATTCAGGGACAGCTTGGGGGAACCTTACAAATTTGGAACAAGGTTCCTCTCCTAGTAGTTCAGGATTTCTAACTCAAACCTTTCAGCAACATGCAGCCTTCAACAGAGAAGACAGCTGTTGCCTATGACCTCAAAAATCAAAAAAGGTAAAAAGATCCATACCTTCAAAGCACATTTCTGTCCTTTCTCCTTGTGAAAGCATTCCAATACTTTGCCATTGATGCCTAAACCCAGCACCCGCTTGGAGATTTTGTAGTCATCTGTAACAGCATATTTCTTTATTTCCTCCTTGACCGGGACAGCTCCACTAGACAAGGGTCTTGTGCTGCCTTTGCTGTCCTCATGATTCTCTGGAGGGGCTCCTTCCTGACTGGCACTTTGTTCCATAGCAAGTTCCAAGTTCAGAAAAAAGTAGCTGTCAGTTTCCCCAAGTTTACTGGGGAATCTCTTCAGTAAAATAACCCCATCAAGTAGTTCATATTCAAGTAGCCGTAATCCATTTCCTGGGATTTCACTAAAGAGTCTCCTGTTTAAAAGAAGAAGAAGAAATAAATATTATTTAATTACAAAGGCATGGACTGAAGGGCTATTCCTAACACTTTTTCCTTCCATATGCAATGGGAATAGGGAACCACAGGAACGAACTATGCCACCATCCAAATGTTTAGAAATTCCATTCAACTAAAAGGCAAACATAGGGTTTGATGCCAACTTTTTTTTCTGGCTGGGTACCTTCTTCCTTTTAAACAAAATAAAACAGCAGCCCAGTGACACCTTAAGCACTTAATAAAACTGATTTCAGCATGACTTTTTGTGAGCCAAAGCTCACTACCGGATGCAATGAACTTTTAACAAGTAAAATTTCAACAGGTTCAGTACCTCTCATCCCTGTCAGGTAAAAAATTAACTGCTGAAACATTTCTATCATGTAATTCTTAAAAGACACAGGTACATGCAAGGGGGGAAAGTGGCAATTCTAAACTTATGCTTTAAGTAATACTTAAAAAACCATTAATGTTACAGCTTTAAATCTGCCTTGAAGAGATTCTTTGAGCATTTATACGGGAGAATTTGAATGCGTATGCAATCATCTATTACCAGTGAATCATCTCCATGATGACAGGAATCTGGGCATAAACCCAAGGTAAAAGGGTCTTCTAGACTGAGATATTAGTATGCATCATGCTTGCTGAATCATTGCACTCAATAGGGTCCAAAATAGAGTTGGAAACTAAGTCAACCCCTAACAATGATCTGCATGGGAAGCACAGAAATAGCAGCAGCGATCCCTATTTTACCATGGAAGCTTGGTGGGTGACCTTGGGCCAGTCACACACTCTCAGTCTAACCTATTCACAGGAGTGCTGTCAGCATAAAAGGAGTAATGTTGTAAACCATTTTAGGTCCCCATTCAGCAGAAAAGTGAGACATAAAAGAGGTTAAATAAATAAATAGAATAAATATATTTCATTTTAACTTGGCTATGTGGTTTTGCTTACAATGTGTCACTTTTTAAAACTCTTCTAAGATTTAATACTGAGACATTTCAAATAATAGAAGCATGTGCATAGTGTTCTTCTCTGAATAGTGAGTAACCACAAACTGACCTTTCTCACCAAGCATAAGGGGAGGAGGCAGATCAGAGATGTTTCCCCAGCTGCAATATCTCCCTTTTTAGAAATTAGTCATTGACACCCTAGTCTAGAACCCCCTTTAAAGTGATTTAGAAAGCAAAAATAGAACTTCTTTCATGATAATTAACAAAATAGATCTCACATGCTGTCTGTGTAAGTCTGTGTACAAAATACCTCATATCTGAGAAGAAGTGCACAAAAAATCCAACAACCTGAGACAAAATACCTGTCCTTCCTGGAAAACAACTAGCTAGGAAGCAATTTTATTCCAAGCCTAAATACATCTGACAGGTTTAAGCCCTAAGAAGGCCCTCATCCTTCCCAGTTGCTTTACTACCATCTTAGAGTTACCCTGATGAGACCCCCCCCCAAAAAAAAAAAACCCACACCTGGTAACATTTTCCTGCTAAACTTAAAAATGAGTTTCCTTCAAATTCTGAATCCTGAGCCCAGGTGGGGTATAGCTAAATGAGGTGAAATATACCAAAATGAACTTCTAACTGCAGCTCCTAAGCAAGCCACTTTCACGCAGAGTCAGAGCAGGCAGAAAATTAGCCACCCCTCCTCCGGTCTCAAAACAAAGAGTCCACCACAAATCGCAACAAGGGGCTCGGCAGGTGTGCCAGGGCTGAGAAAGAGGAGGCGGGGTAAAAGCGTGGGAACCGAGCAGGTGAAGCTCCCGCAGGGAGGGGAATGTTACCTGCGTTGGGCGCATGCTCCTCACAGGTGGTCGCTTTGCTGCGCCTTCAAATGAGTAACAAAAGAGGGGGGCCGGGGCCGGCCATAGAAGGAATCGCAAAGTCTGGGCCCAGCCAAGCCTCTGCCCCCCCCTCCCCGGTGAAAAGAACACTTTGCAATAGACACTCTGAGGTAGAACAGAACTGCAGTGACCTGGGGGGACACGTGCTCAGGGAGGGACACCTGCCTGGAAGTGAGCCGGGCAAAGCATGGAGACCGAGAGCTACTCCGGGCGGGTGGCTGGGCGGGACCGAGCTCCCTGGGGGATGGGACCGACCCAAGGGGCTTCCTCTTCCAGCCCCATTGTTGAAGCCGTTGCTGCAAGGAATGAAGGGAAACCTCGGCTGTGCCGCCCTGTGATTCATTCTCAAGTCTGGTGACGCCCGACCGTCCAGCGAGGCAGCCGAGAGAAACGGCGCCGGCGCCGGGTTCTTCATGTAACAGGTCCCGAAGGGGACGCAGGTAAATAGCGTCGAGGGGAAGTTCCTGTTTCAAAGACCAAAACTGTCGAGAAGCCCACCATTTACGTGACAAGGCTCCGATTATCTTACTTCGGGCACCAAGGGCAAATGCGCAAAAGCGGGCCAAAGTACAAGCTCCAGGGGCACAGGCGACGAAGGCACGCGCTGGAATGGGAGTAAAGAGCAAACCAGCTTTCCTTTGTTTGTGCCCCTGAACTGTCACGATGAAGCGCGCTGTTGAGGGAAGGAATCGCTGCTTTGTTTCGTGATTAAGCCTATAGCGGAGTGTGCGCTAACAACAAAGAGCTTCATAAAGGGAATCGCAAGGCAGAGCAAAACCTTTAGATCGCCCATCTGTCTACGTGTAATGATTTATTTTTTTAAAAAAAAGGTAGTGCTGAATGGTAGGGGAAACAAATCCCTCCTGCTGATTACTTAGTGAAGGAGCGGGCTCAGAAGGTCTGTGACTTTTCTCTCTCCCTTTTGGGATACAACATAATCCACGCAATACCGTGTTAAGATAGTATCAGGACGGCACCTGCTGGTGGGGAAAAGCCAACCAAATGCAAGGAGAAAAAAAACAAACCCGCGAAATGGTGGCAGGGCAGGAAAGACTTGGGTTTCGGATTTAAAGGCTGCATTAAACACGTGTCTTTAGACTTTTAATTTTTAAACGCGATAAAGCAGCCGTGCATCCCACAGTGATCTGATTTTAACAAGAGGCGCCGTGGCTCCTAAAACTGGCCCCTTAAAGGCTAGCATTTATTTCAGTGTAAGCTTTTGTGAGTCACAGCCCACTTCCTCAGGTAAATGTGGTAAAACCATACAGGAAAATTCTATGGGGGGCGGGGAGGGGTTCAAGGCTCCATGTGAATTATACTATGAGTTTTTAAGTGTAAATCTCCAGGAAAAGGGAGAAGATAATGTAGAAACGGTATTTGTGCGTCTTGTCATAAATCAGCAAAATTAGCAATTACACATAAGGTTTGAGCCAGCTGGAATACTGTTGTCCCTCCCAGACAGGGGTCATTTCCTGCAGGAGCGCACAGGAGCTCCGGCAGTAAAGAGCCCAGGGGGCGGGCATGTGCAACAAGCCCCACCCCCTGCTCCCAGCAGCCCTCAGTCAGAGCAAGAAGCAGGCAGGTAAGCTTCCGAAGCCCCCCCCCCCCGTCCAAAACAGTCCAGTGGCACCTTTAAGATCAAGTTTTATTCAGGTACAAGCTCTCCCTCCTTTGCGAGGACAGATCTGCATGTTCCCCCCCCCCAATAGCTAGCAATCCAAAACAGTCCAGTGGAGCCTGAGTGGTGGGTGTTGCCTTCTGACACACTTCCGGCGATGTCAGGGTGTGTGGCATATGCAAATGAGTTATGCTAATGAGCTCCTGCACCCCTTTTTCCACGAAATGACCCCTGCTCCCAGATATGTTGGGGGTGAACTGTAATCATGAAATATTCATTGTGCAACAAAGCACCTTTAGATACACCAAGGATCTAAGAAAGACCAGTCAGTTAGTATGAGTTCTGGTGTGAGTCCACAAAGGCTCTGTTCATATTAAGCCTTGTGTGTCCCACTATGCTAATAGTTTACTAACTCTGATATTCTTCTTTGGAACTCAAATGTCCACAGTAATAGTGTTATGTGGAGAGTTATAATAGCCAGATTTTAGGTATTTGATTAAATCAAGAATTGTTTGAAAAGCTGCTAGCAGAAAATATCAACAAATCCCAAGGCACTCCTCACAAACTCTTACCCCACCCCAACTGAATCCCTGTTCCTTTCAAACCCTTTGCTGCCTTCACTGGTAAATCTCATCCTTACAGTGAATAAAATGTTTTTGTCTGCTCCCTCAAATGGGGGAGAGCCACCAGGGATTCATTCAAGTGTTATTTTTAATCTCCAATCAACCCTTTAACTGGTTAGTTACACTGATTAATCAAGGCATGCTCACTGTTCTTGGCAAAATAGAATTTTGTTTGGGGGTTTAAATGCTCAGTGAAGACATAAAAGCTATGGTTTCCACAGCAACTGTTGGTCAGTGCTAAATGGGTTTTCAGTAAGATGCTGAACCTCTTGTATGTATGAACATATTCATCCAGAATTTATTATGTATGAAACATTCAGAAACTATCTCTGCACAGGCTCCATCATTGTTAGGACCTATCAGTTGACTTTGGGGACCATGACGTTTTATTCACTTCATTTACACCCTGCCTTTCTGTCCAGTGGGGACCCAAAGTGCTTGACATCATTCTCTTCATCCCTATTTTATCTTCACAATAACCCTGTAATGTAGGTTAGACTGAAAGTGTGTGACTGGCCCAAGGTCAACCAGCAAGCCTCCATGGCAGACTGGGGATTCAAACCTGTGTTTCCCAGGTCCTAGTCTTACATTGTAACTACTATACTACACTGGGCATTGAAAATGGAATACAAATATTTTAAGTATATAAATAGGCAGGCTTCACAAATGGTGTTGCATTTTTATCAACACACCCAGAGCCAGAGAAACATACCACATGTACTCCTGTGTACATAAAAAAAATACTGTGTGTATATAAGAGCACTTACCCAGTAGTCATGATTCCACTTCAATGGGGAGAGGATGAGAGGAAGAACAAACCACATGTGACAGATGTTAATGTTGTTTAATGCACTAATGGGAGGCACTATAATAATGAGAGCAGTATAAAGCCCCATCGAGAATTCAATTAAATGCCTTGGGATCAAACCGGATTTGGCATTCTGCGCATCAGCAGCTATATGGGTTAGGACAGGAGTTACAAATACTAATGAATCCTCTTTTCTTACAATAGAAGATGAGCAAGAGCTTGGGTTAAATACAACCTTTCTGTTGATGCTGTAGAAAACAACGATGAAAAGAAGGTAGCCAGGCCTGGATTCTGAGAGAATTCCTGAACTTTTTTTTTTTATGCGGGGATGGGGGGTAGGTTCTTTCCCTATCAGAACGTTTCAGTGGTTAGAGAAGCTGCTTCTGGTGGAATTCTAGGCAATCCTTCATTCAGGATCAAGAGCTAACAAGGATTTTAACAAACCAAGAAACATTACACCAGTTGTGATATTGTGGCCATTTTTTCACCTTGTCCCCTGGGGGCTTTTTATTTCTTTTATCTGCAATTGAATGTTGTTATATAGATATAATGCTATAATCAGAGCCTTTTCCCCTGATGGTATACAGAGGTACAGAGTGCTGTTGTTTTTCTTCGGGGGCACGTGGATCGAGGCGGGTCAGCACTGCTGTTATTGCTTGACAGAACAACAGCATTTGACATGGTCAATTACGATACTGAGGCGGGGATAAGGGGGATAGCCTTGCAATTGCTGGTCTTCTTCCTCCACAGTTGGGAACAGAGGGTGGTGCTTGGGGAGAGGGTTTCTTCATGGTACCCTTTCATATGTGGTATCCCACAAGAGGTGATCCTCTCCGCAATGTTATTTAACATCTACATGCACCCCCTTAAGCAGTTAATCTGGGGGTTTGGGCTGGGCTGTCATCAGTACTCCAACGACACCCAGCTGTATTTGTTGATGGACGGACAGATGGACTCCGCCCCAGATATTCTGGCCAGGGCTTTGGAGGCTGTGGCTGGTTGGTTGCAGCAGAGTTACTCTTCCTCTATAGATATAGGTATAGATAGGGGCTCTGGGGCAAGTGATGTTCTGTCTTCTTGGTGCTTGGGGGGGGTCAACAGTGGGAGGGCTTCTAATGTCCTGGCCCCACTGGTGGACCTCCTGATGGCACTGGTATTTCTGGCCACTGTGTGACACAGAGTGTTGGACTGGATGGGCCTTTGGCCTGATCCAACATTGGCGTCTCTTATGTTATTATGTTCTTTGTTGTTGTTGTTCAGTCGCACAGTCGAGTCCGACTCTTCGCAACCCCATGGACCAGCTCCCGCCAGGCCCTCCTGTCTTCCGCCATCCTCCGAAGTTGGCTCAATTTCATGTTCGTTGCATGAAATGTTCTTATGTTCTTAGAGTTGGCTAAAATTGAATCTATCTAAGATGGAGGTCCTGTACCTGATTCGTGGGGGGATAGGATCAGGAATTCAGCTCCCAAACCTTGGTGCAGCGATACTACCACTGGTGCCAATGATGAGGAGCCTAGGAGTGAGCCTGGATGCCTCACTTTCTATGGAGGCCCAGGTCACGTTCGTTGCCAGATCAGCTTTTAACCATCTTCGGCTGGTCAGGCAACTGGTTCCCTATCTCTCCTCCTGTGACTCTACTAGAATGATCCTTGCAGTGGTCACTTTCAGGCTAGACTACTGTAACTTGCTGTATGCAGGGCTGCCCTTGAATCTGACCTAGAAACTTCAGCAGGTGCAAAATGCAGCAGTGTGCCTCCTGACTATTATGCCTCTGTGGGCGCACATCCAGCCAGTGCTTCACCAGCTGCATTGGCTACCACCTAAGTACCAGTTCAGGTTCAAGGTTATGACATTAACCTTTAAGACCCTATGTGGTCAGGGACCAACATATCTGCAGGACCACCTCTCTCCATATGTTCCCTGTAGAGCTTTACACTCATCTGAACATCATCTTCTGGCAATCCCTGGCCCAAAAGACATCTGCCTAATCTCGACCAGGGCCAG